TTGCAGTGACGGTGACAGTGACAGTGGCGGTAACAGTGGTGACGGGGATTAATGTTATATTTTCTATGGCGACTCAGATAAGCATATTAATTTCATCTTCGTTTTTGAAAATTTTCGTTGAGGTTTTTCGCATAAACTGGCAAAAAGCTGCGAGAAGCAATACTTGTTTTGCTGAAAACAATTTCCGTTTTCGGCAGATTTTACAAAACTTTACATAAGTTCCATGAGCATGAAAGGGACCTCGACAGCGACTTCTCTGCCGATACCGATAAGCTTAAAGGTACAGTTGCTCTAAGGACAGCTAAGGTAAAACTGGCTCCATATCCTTGATAATTTATCCGATGAGTTGAATTTTACTCTAAATGGACCACAACAACAAATTTTATCGAATTAGTGCATAAAAGCTGCGAAAAATCCTGCCGAGATCCATGTTCCGCTGCTTTCCTGCCCAAGGTGTTGACAGTTTGATAGCCTTCACTCACAAACTCTCGACCGCCGAGGATTTCGACATAACTTCCTCGGATATAACTTCCACGAAACCGTGACATTAGTTCCATGGAAGTTACATACGTCGATAAATTACTTCTGCCGATCGATTTTTGGTCGATGGAAATAAATTCAGACATTACTTCGACAGACCTGAGTGTGCTTTTTTTGTTTGAGAAAATGTTAAATGAACCGTCGGTTTACAGTTTAAAATTGGGCGGATTTCTAGCTATCTTTTTAGACAGCTAGGCGGCTATTAAGGCCTCATCCAATAGGATAATAACCCTAGGCTCGTCAAAGAGTGCCTTGACACTCTCCAACTCATGGCACCAAGGAATACGTGTACTAGAACACTGTGGAATCGGAGGTAACGAGATCGCCGACGAGCTGTCTAGAGAGTGCTTATCGTCTGTACTTGTGGGACTGGAACCATTTTGTGGCTCAAGTTGATGCTCCTCGAGATTCATAATAGAAGCGTGTGTAAACTCAGAACGCAGTAAGTATCGGGGAGAGGTAGGGGGCATTAGGCCGGGTAGAATTTTTTGTTTTCCTTATACATAAATCTTTTGCATAGAGCCAACATCAAGTGGCTTATTGGTTACTTGACCGGTCATAATCAAATGGGTTTTTACAGGCTCCGGATTCGCTTCTCCACAGTGATGCCGTCTTTGCCTTAAATGAGGAGGAGATGTCGGAGCACATTATATGTGATTTAATGGCATTGGCCAAACTAAGGCTGTAATATCTCTATTCTTCCACCGTCGAAGCCCTTAATGTCAGGAATTCGTCTACCAAGAAACGGCTAGCTTTTATCATATGCATAAAAAGATCTTCTAGGTCGCGGTGTCTGTTGGTTCTGTTGCACCCATTAAATTTATGTTTACATTGAGCGGAACGTGCCTGGTCAGTTTTACTCTAACAATTGTGGAATGCCTGAAAGTTCCCAAATAGATGGAACAAAACCCATTAAGAAAGAATACGTAACTTATACAGGCACTTGTTATGCTTGATAATGGGATGAAATGCTTGGGGACGAAAAATACTTAATAGGCCAATCACGAACGACCCAATATAGGGTCCAGATAAGGACAGTACAAAACATTTATTCTCTACCTTTTCAGCTGATGTGAAGCATCTGTTGGCTGTGCAGGGTTCGGAAGAAGTCCCATTATCTAACACCACACTACCTTCTTTTCCCTTATTGCAGTCGATAGTCAGAAAATTTAAGAATTCTTTCAGTTCCTATCTCTATCCCGATTTAATATAATTCTGGTAACTATCCTTACAATGGATTTCAAAAATTATAGCCGCTGCTCAACGTACCTTAATAGTATGGGACAACTTTCATTCAGTACTAAGTTTAGGCATCCGGACTGTTGCAGTGTATTTCAGGTGGAATTGGCTGCTATCAAGGAGGCGGTGGAGTCACTACTCAAGAGTGTGATGACAGTCAGGGTGTTGAGCATTTAATCTGATAGCCAAGCGGCTATCAGGGTCTTAAGTGCGTTGGAGGTGCGCTCTAATTTGGTTAAAAAAGTCTGCTCTCTCTCTCAGTTGCGCTGGAGTTCTGTATTAGGCTCATTTGGGTTCCGGGTCACAGCGACAATGCGGAAAACTGTGTGGCTGACGAATTCGCTAGGAAAGGTACTTGTGAAACGTTATCGCCGTATAAAGATCGGCTGGGGGTACCATTGATCACTTGTGGTACACTCTTTGATAGATGGGTCTCATGTGAGCTCAGTGAGCGCTAGGCGGAAACCAGGACATGCGCGATTGCAAGGTCCTTCTGGCCGAGGGTAGACGGGGGGGCGATCGAGGGCACTCCGCACACTTATAAACACACAGCTCTGACTCGTGGTGAAGGTTTTAACGGTTCACTGTGCAATGGTTATTCACGCAGTAAGGTTGAGCACATTATCTAATCCCGTATGTCGCAGTTGCCTGGAAGATGGCAAGGTGGCATCACCTCAACACTACCTTCTAAGGTGTCCAGCATTTGCAAGGCTAAGATTGAAGTACATTGGCTTTCACATTCTTAATAGACCCGAGGAGCTCTGGTGCCGTTCAAAATATGGTACTGCAAACTACCGTTTTCGATTATTGCTCTTTTATCGGAAAGGTGGTACGTTAAGGGTGGCCCCATACTAATTTGGTTTACTTTTGATCACTGTGTCATGAAAAAATTAACGGTACACCAAAATTTTTATATTAGTATTGAAGTCGGTTGTATTTTTTGCTTAAAAAATACTTGTATTACCTAGAAAACTGCCACCAATATATTGAAATCCAGTGCGAAATTTATACATACATTTCCCACTGCACCAGCTACTACAGCGTCTTCCAAACTATTGCTCTTGCAACTATGCAGCTCACCTTGCAGTCTTTGCTGAGATTTATGTGACATTAAATTATAAAAAAAAAAAAACGCAAGGAAACATAATCGAATCAACAATAACTGTAGCGCGCGGCAAGACATAAATGTTGCCACCAAAATGTGTTTTTTATGTGGCTGCTGTCGCTAAAGCCATTCTAGTCATGTGGCCGCTTCAACAGATCGCGCTTACACTTGCATAAACAATATTTTTATGTGAAAATATACACACATATATACTTATTTTTGGCATATACCTACATACGCCTATTTAGATTACAGCCGCTGCACTCGTACAACTTTTCCATCGCACAGCTGTGTAGCAGACACACTTGTTGTACTCATATGTACTATGTAGAATGCTCGAAACGAGGCAACTTGAGGCGAGCACCACTCCTGCAACAACTCCAAGTATTTAGTAACCCTTACCTTTCCTGCGCCGGCGCACATTTGCTTGTAGTTCACTGACAGTTTTGTTGGCTTGTCTTGGCTGTTGGATGCTGGTGTCAGCGTGTCTGCTGTGTCGTGTAACATTTGCCGGCGAATAGCAGGTAAAAAAAAAAAAATACAAAAAACAATCCTCTACACATTTATTGGCAATCACAAAAGCGAGTAGTAAGCGATCTGGGCGAGCAACAACCTGCGCGCTTTTTTTTCATTTTTTGGCTATTTAATCGCTTCAGCGGCAACTGTATGTCACATGTGGCATGTATTGATTTTCCCGCTGGCTTTCTATGTACACAGTTTTGTTTTGCTTTTTTTCTACTATTTTTTATTTAAATGCAATTTTTATTTTCATATTTTTTGCTTTGCCATTTAATTTACTGCAGTCAATTTAATTTTATTATTATTTTTTTCGCTCATCAATAACCGGTTCGCCAGCGCGCATTTAATTGTTACTCCATTTTTTTTGATTCTTTTTATTGCTTCTATTTATTTCTGCTTAAATGTTTTTCGCCTACAGTCTCATTTTTTCCATCTCAGTTTCCTCGACATTTGCTCTGTGTGACTTTGCTGTGCATTGCCTAGGCAGTGTTGCCATGTTGCTGGCCTAGCCTGCCGCCGAAATGTTTATGTTCTGCTGTTCGTTTGTTGGCTCACGCGCGCGTGTTCGCCTCTAATATACCGTCAAAGTCATTCTTGAATGCGCCATAAATCTTCGTTGCGAACGTCATTTAATGGTTCGATAGCCGGTCTCCGGATCTCTCCTTATTGCCGCGCGTACTTCTGGTAAAACAGCAAATTGTGGTTGCCTGTGGTGGCATGGCTATTAGAATGCATACATACATACATACATATATTGGCTAACTGACCGCTTAAGTGTCCACGCTTCTCACGCCACGCCACGCCATGCCATTCCATAGCCTTGCCAGCGTCGACTTGGGGTCTGCCTGAATGTCTGTTGGCATACAAGAAACTCAAATAAAAAATTGTCTCCCTCCACTATTGATCGCAGTTCATATTATTTCCCATGCTAAAGTTTTGGTTTGCCTTGCTTTTGATTATGGTTTTTGTTTTTGTATTAATTTAATATTTTTTCAATTATTCATTTTTTGTACAAAATGCGCAATTAATATGGTCATGTCGCATTAACGACTCGCACTAACTTCCACACGCTCGATTGCACCTGCACTATGTAGTATGTTTATAAATAAAATAAATAAAATACCCCACAGCCAGCTGTTGGTCATGCTGAGCTATTTATGCGAGTGACTGACTGTGTTTAATAGGCATTGGTTGGTAAGGTAGGGTGTGTTATTTTTCCATTTGTTATACATACATATCTTAATATATAAACAAATCTATATCAGCGGTGCCTCAGATAATATTTCATAGGCTATTATCTACTTTTGGAACACCTTATGTGCCAGTTAGGAAAGCCCTCTTTCATGAGTTGGGAAGAAAAACTGATACTTCCTGACTTCTTCAGTCTTTCTGACTGTCGTTTCTTCCTTTTTGAATAGCCGCCTCACCTTCCATAGACATTAGATACAAATTTTGTTTGCCTATGACATGCAGGATAAGCTTAGCCTTGTCCTCCATACCATATCCATATCAATTGGTAGTAAAAATTTTACATGAATTTACATATATCGCATCATATAAATCACATCAAATAACAGCGAGTTTAAATCTCATCCAGTCACTTCAGTATCATGTGATGTTGCAAGTAACCAAATCCGAGGACTTGAAAGCCAGAGTAGCCTAACTGAAATTAAAGAGGTAGCATTACTTTTATGGCATGAACTTTTCAGTAAAATACCATATATACCATTTATAGATACTTCTTTCTCATATTACACCGTGCACCGAGTAAAAAAGACCTATGGTGCTCTATATTTCTGCAAGGAAATGCTGGGTAAGAAGTGGGGCCTGCGGCCTGATCTTATGCAGTACGATTACCTTGCGTATTACATCATGTCCAACGGAAACATTTAATGTCATCTGTCATTTGCCACCGATTGATCTCTTTATTAAGGAAAGTGCTTTATTAAGAAGAGTGCCCTGAAGTTGAGGACTATGGAAAGAACGTATGTACGTACTGGCATAGGGGTGCGTACCCTGTACTCTTTCCCGACCCGAGCATTCGCGTAAATCTGCCTACATCTATCCTTCGCTTCTCTTCAAGAATAACTTCGTGTACTCAACGCTTCGACGGACGGCTCAAAAATGGATTGTGGCGTAGGGGCGCACATTTTTTCAACTGACCTCCAAATCGAAGAGTATATGATAATAAATCACTTGATATAAGTATTAGTTGACATGTACAGTCTGACGAAAGTCACATATTGTATCAGTATCATATGATGTGATATCGTTACGGTACTACCTGTCAACAATTTTATTAATTCAGTATCACGACGCTTCGTCGGCTCAAACCACACAATATCAAATTTCATCAAATTAAATCAGTGTCTTATGATGTCGCGTCTCATCGAAAATATCACTATGCTGTGTGATAACCAGCGCCGAAGGAAATAAGCAAAAAAAAAATCTGTTTTAAGCGCTTAGAAAAGCACTAAAACATTAGCAAATATGTTTGCAAATATGCTCGAAAAACAACAAAAAAAAATTTAAGTACAGTTTAATGTTTTGTTTTTTTCAGTTTATTTCAAGGATTTAAAAAATTATAATGGAAAATCTAGTGTTACTTGATATTCTCAAATAATGGAGATCTGTGCTGGTCGTTTTTTTTTTTTAAATATTTGTTGTTCACCATTTGAGATAAATTATTTGTAATCAATTCAATAACACCAATGCCTTGCCGTAGAGAAAACCCTTTGGTCTTAAATTTTTGTATCCAAGCAGAAATGCAACTGAAGTTAATAAAAATCAAATCTGTTCTTATGTTATTACTAGCAGAGCACCCGACGTCGCATCGTTCGGGGAAAACAAATCAAAATATAAAACAATAATAGAAATAAATATTCAGTTCAGCATAAATTAAAGGAGACAAACTATTTTCTTTCTATTTAAATTAAGGCATTCTTGTGGGTCATACTTTTAGCTTATATAAGCACCTACCATGGTTATGTACTCATACCAAAGTTCATATTCTTGTGAATTATGATTACGAAGTTGTAGCTGATACAAAATTTCACGCCTGTGAGATTTGCCACGCCCCTTTCAAAAAACTAGTTTACATATACCTTACTATAAGCATTTATCATAGATTTTTACAGCAAATTTCAAGTTCATGTGACCTGTGGTTCCGAAGTTATATCTGTTTAAAAATTTCACGCCCATAGGATGTGCCACGCCTTCTTGAACAAACTCATTTATATATACCCTACTATAGGCACCCACCATAGATTTATCTGCATACTAAATTTACATTTCATGTGACATATCGTTCCGAAGTTATGGCTGATTAAAAATATCACGCCCATGGGAGGTGCCACGCCCTCTTGTTGAATCCCAATTTTTTCACCCTATTATAGGCCCAGGTGTCATGGAAATATTCTGTCAAAATTACGTTCGATTCTGTCCTGTTCTCTGCAACCTGGCACATACTTACATTCATACTTCCGCAAATATATAGTAGATTTGTAAACATTTTTTTAGTTCGACAAATAAAAAAAACCCCCCAAGAAATGCTCAAAGAAAATTTATTAAGCCAATTTTTTTAAGCAGTACGGAGTCTTTGAAAAAATTTTCTAAGCTTTCTACTATCGTTTTCTTAATTTTTTATTTTTTGAAGAGCATAAGGCGTCCCTCTTGTTTAGAAGAGAAATATGTGCCTGTTCCATTATTTCATAAGAATAAAGTGAGACAGCTGGCTGTAAAATATCAGATGTCAAAACTGCATGGACACTACCATTCACCGTTTTCTTAAAAATTCCGTACTTACGTAACTTTATACTTAGAAATAAGCAAAAAAAAAAGCATGGTCGTTAAAATTAAGCTTGGAAACCCTGATTAAGCAAAATAAGCAATTCCAAGCAAAAGCTTAAAATTTTCGGCCTTGGTGATAATGGATCACATCATATTACAACAATATATGTATGTATGTAGGTATGTATTCGCATGCAAAACTGCACACTCGGAAATTTTCTAGAAATTCGGAATAAAAAGTTGAAAATTTAGATCAAACTTTTTGAATTTTCGGGAATTTTATATAATGTGTGAAACTTTGATTCATATGATTTATATTATATACTACATTTTCATAAATAATTAATGCAAAAAATTTTGCATGAAAATAATTGTGAATATTATATTAGAACATTTGTCGCCTAGTGTATCTTAGAAAATGCATTATCTTCAGATTTGTATAAAGAACAAGATTCCAACGCGAAATTGTATTTAAATGAAAATTTGGAAAAGATATGCTGAAAAAAACTAAAATAACCACTCGTTATCCTATACCCGTAGTATACCTGTAACGTATACGTCCCGTAGTACCATACGCAGTCATCCAACACGTTTACTCGTACGCCTTAACTCAAAAGTCATATTATTTTTTGAAAGTAATTAAATATTGTTTTGGGAGAATTTCACACAGTATTCCTTCTGCACTTATATATTGCTTTCTTCATGTAAGTAACAATATAAGAATGAATTTCGAGTATGCTAATAAAAAGAGTAAAAATGGAATTTTAGTTTCTCAAAGCATAGTTATCTCGTACTCATTGTATTTTTTTTCATTTGGTGACACACAAGTTTTATTACACTAGATTCATTCGTTTTGGCAAAAAGAATAATTTAATTTTAACATTTTGAAATATCTAAAATTATTAAAAAAAATTTTAAAATTTCAAAATTTATAAAATATCTGCGACAGATATTCTGCATGCTGGAATTTTTTAATTTCGCGGTAAACTCTTGCAATTTCACAGATATGTTGTATTTTATGTCAACGTCCATTGCCTATAATATGGGCATTCTATTTCAAAACAACTCAAAGCCGTTAAAAAAAATATATATAATTTTTTCGAGTGACAAAAAAAAAAAATTAGTAATTTCGATACTTTTTCGCCTAAATACATAAATGCTTTAAGGCCAAAAATTGTTCATATACTTGATTTATTATTTATTGTACTTGCTTCTGGAACTACATTGATTTAAATGTATGCTAGAAGAAGGCTTAGGGTTTTTTTCTGGCGCGTCATACCTTGTGATGTTCCATTTTATCATGTGACATAACATCACATCACATGTAAAGCTTTACTCTTCTGAATTCTCACCACGCCAAATTATTGTATTTATTTATCCAGGAATAATAGGTGACTCATAACAAATTAAATCAAATCATAAAAAAGAGACAATATAAGCTCGATAAGCTTACAATAAATTATAAGCCAGTCGACTACAGCAATAATTAATTAAAAGCCACTGGCATGTGTATTAATTTATGAAAAATTGTGCACACTTGAAATCCTAAGATATTTACAAAAACAAAACTACGCTGCACAATGCATGCAATAAAAAGAGAAAAAGCTTATAAAAAATGAGATCAAAATATTAACAAGCAGATATTGTCAATTAAATTAATGAAAAACAAAAACGTACGAAACCCCAAAAAAAAACCGTCAGTCAGTCAGTCAGTCAGTCAGCCGGTAATTTAGTGTGGAGTAAAAAACTTTCCCACAGCATTTACAAACGCGTGCATCTGAGCGCCACATAATTTACGAGCGGCTGACGCGTTGTGTGACGGCCACTATGTATGCGCTGCAGCTGTCAGTCGGTGCAACTTACTCACCTCCTAACCCGCCTCATTCGATAACAAGAGGAAAGAGTAGAAAAAAAACACAATAATTAAACAAGTCAGAAATTCAGCAGCGCGGACAACATGCGAGCGGGGCAGGGAAGTGGCGATTGAAGTTGAGGGAGAGTGAAGAGCCAGGAGACTGTAGGATAAATGGGATGAATTGACATGCAGCTGCTGCAACGGATTGGGGCGGTATAAGCGATTAACCACAGCAAAAAGCAACAACAGAGCAATCAGCATAAGTGCAACAAAAATTCGAGATTTAAGATCTGTCAAGCGATTAAGCTGCCGCGAACGCATGCATATTTTTTATTCGCATTTTTTTGTTTTGCATTTCCTTCAGGTGTAAATTGAAAACTTGGCTGCTGGCATACCGATTTAGCGATTGACCGAATGACCGGCGCACTGCGCATTCGAAACACGTTTGCACGCATTTAACAGCTGGCGAAGTCGATGCTGGCGTCGCACAGTGTCGCGAGTGCGGTTGGCCATTTTCCCGCAACTACCCCCTTTCAACGACGCTTGGGGAATGAAATTTAATTTTGAGTGCCCCAAAAAGGGCGCAGAATCCGGAAAAAATTTATTAAAAAAAAAAAAATTATGAAGGCGTCCAGAAACTTTAAGAAACTAACTATGCAGTTCGATTACCCGTACCCGAAATAGAGCGATACCGTCATCTCCGGCCATGTCTTTTTAAGCGGCTATAAAAGTGTTGCTTCCAAAATTTAGTTCAAATTACATCCAGTGTGCAAATATGCACGGCTCTACGTTAACTCCTTCTATTTTAGACCGCAGCTTATGTGAACTCACGACACTGTGCGTCGCATCGTCAGACAGTGAAGCAGAAAATTAACCCAATTTTTGTCGCGGCACATAGATTTTTTAATGTTTATTTATCTTATGCATTTTTTGTTGTTGCTGTTGTGCGCTTTTAGTCAGCAACAATGATTGATGATCACACGCATTACCACTGTAATACACACAATAATAAATAGTAT